ATGGATTGGGAGGGGCATCCACAGCTTCCAAGGGGTGTCCATGGATTAGGATGGGCATTCACAGCTTCCAAGGGGTGTCCATGGATTGGGATGGGCATCCACGGCTCCAGATGGGTGCCCATGGATTGGGATGGACATCCATGGATTGGGATGGGCACCCACAGCTCCCGATGGGCCCTTCCAGAAAGCCCAAGAGCCGAGTTCCTCTTCCCTGAGGATGGAATTGCTCCGCAGGACTCGCTGCTCGTCCCGGGGAAGATCCAAGGCCAAGAGACGGAGACAAGATGATCCAGCAGATGATCCCTACGGATAAACCACACCTGGGAGCGGATCCTGGGGAGCAGAGTCACGACCCCCCAGTTCCTGCCCTACTGGGATCAGGATCAAAGCGCTCCCGGGATGGGGAAAAAAACCTCAAATTCAGGAGAAACTCCAATGGGAAAAGGAGAAAAGCTCCGGATAATCCAGGATTGGGTGGGAACAAACATCAGCTCCCAAAAAAAGCCCCGTAACTTGAGTCGGCCGAGCCTGGCCCTGCTCCAGTTTGGGGTTGGAAGAGGAACCATCTCGGTTTGGTTTCTCCAAAACCCACGTTCCGGGTGTTGCTCCTCTGGGAAGGCGAACGAGGATCTTCTCCATCCTCCTCCGGGTCTCCCGGGGAGCTCCTGTGAGGAATCCTGGCACCAGCCGGACGTGGCCATGGTGAGCCGAGGGGATGGAGCGGGATTGGAGGACTGGAAGATTGGAAGATTCCCATCCCGACCGCGGCCAGAGCACCGGATGCTCGGGGAGACCCTTCACCGAGACCACGGAGCCAACGGAGACCACGAGGGGCAAAGTCCTGGTGATCCCAGGGGATCATCCGGGGATTCCAGAGGTGACTGAGTTTGGCCAACCCAACCCAAGGACAGACCTTCATCCATGATGCTGATTGTTGGGTCACAGTCGGATCACGTGGTTCGGCAGCTTCCTGGCGTCCAAGAGCAGTGAGAGGAATCCCATCTCCAACCCCGGTGGTGTTCCAGGATGGCCAAAGATGTCTTCTCCAAGAAGACGAAGCCAATGGAGACCACGATGGTCCCAGGGGGTCACT